ATATATATATATATATATATATACAGTATGGAAAAAAGAGGTCACATAACCGGATACTGTTACCAGACTTAGAAACCTTGTCGAAAAACATTGTACATTTGCTGTTATGTTAAACTTATATTAAGGTTTTTCTTTATTACCCATTCAAGCTGTCTCCAAGCATTATTAGTCTCGAAGTAGGTTCCTCGTCATTGAAAATGGTTTAACTGATTCGTGCAACAAACCTCCACCATTAGATGTGCCTCACACACACGTGACTCGTGTGACTCCCTCTGTACTATTCTACCTAACTATCACTTTTTGTTTGGCAGTGCTTTTAGTTAAGATGTCTTTTTTAGTGCTCTCTCAAATCAAATATGAATTTTTGTAGCATTTATTTCTTGTTTACAATCTATAATTTTCATTTTAATATTTTGTAGTGGTATTATTTCTCTTTCAAAACCCAGTTACAGAACTTAATTTGTTTTCCGTGTTTGTCTTTTATGAACACAGTTATGTTTACATTATGAATTCCGAAATAAATGTTACCACATCGGAGGTTGTACCTTTTACCAGCACATTTACTCAGGTTTCAGGTGGGGTAACTCGACCTTCGAATTATTGGCAGTTATTTGTCAAGAGTTTGATCATTATTTGAATCAACCTTCTTTTAATGTTGCTCAACTCCTCCTGAACAAGCTGAACCTGTTTGGGACAATGATGATGGTTTTTACAGCCTTTTTACTCCACCTTAATTTGCCATGTCTCCCCCCAGTTATTCCTGTGGTTTCTATTAGACCTAATATGGCTTTTTTGAACATGACTTCACAGGTACATTTTGTTTTATCCATTTCCCTAATTTTCTATAATTCTCTACCTTCATTGTTACATGATACTCTTTCCTCTCAGTATTTTGTATTTCCACCCTTTCCTGATATTGGGGTTCATGCTGAGCATTTTGTATTTCAGTTATGTGATGATGTGAGCATGCTTCACCCTCCATGGGCTGCAGACCAGTTTACTTTGGCCTACTATAAAGCCTATTTTCTGTTCCTGGAATCGCAACACTTGGAATCCATTCTATCTGTTTGGGGGTGGGTGGATCTTGATTGGCCTGTTCTTTTGTCCCATGCCCAATTTTCTCACCTTCATCTTACCTTCAGGTCTATCTGACAGTACTTGTCCACCACCTACCTTCTGTTTGAGGTGATCCACTGTGATCCTGAGAGTTTCTCAAGGATATGTTTGTTATAATTACCTACTTGTTGGTACGTTTGTAAACTTCGGCTCTTTCTTTACATATATGGTTCCTATATTTTTGGGATCTTTTGGAGAGGGATGTGGTTTTGTCACATGTTCATTTACCATCTGTTTATCTTTGGGATGTATTCCTCACCCATTTTCTCCATTGGTTGGTTTTTGGACATCTTCCTGTGACTTTGGAATCTTGGATGAATCTGTAAGATGCCAATCGACTCTTTCCTCATTGGTTGATTGTTTATCTTGCACAGAGCTTCAACAGTCACCAAAATCTGTTCTCTATCCTACTCTTTCCCAACCTTAACCTGTTCCTTCCACAAGTGTATCTTCTGCTCATTCTTTTCTTCGATGATGAGTGACACATTGCCAACAGTATTGGTGACTAACCTGTGGGTTTCAGTCCGGTGGGAGCTCATTTATCCCAGTTTGTTCATCTGTGGTGAGATTTTGTTGGGGATCACTGGGTATTTCAGGTTTTATCAGAGGGACTTGTCATCCATTTCCTCTCCCCTCCTCTGTTGTCTCAGATACCAGTTTCCATTCCGTTACCTTGGTATCCTCCCAAATGTCAGTATCTG